TTTGCTATCTTGTGAATTTGACTTTTCAAAGGTTAATGCTTCCATAGTTGCACTTGCAAATAATTTATTTGTTCTTTCTTTTTATTTGTAAATGTTTATTTCAAAATATTATAAAAAAAAAATTATTTTCAAATAGTTTATTTGTTAGTATTGAAATGTTTGAATATTATTGATAATTTTATAAGATACAATTACTGTTTTTCGGCATGTTTGTATCTTGTAAAAATATAACCTAATAATATTTTTTTAATATAACAACATTATGCAAAAAATATAAAAAATAAAATCAATAAATAATTAAATAAATATATCTTAATTTGAGTTGATTATAAGTGTCGTTATAGTAGATATGTCTCACACATACTTGACTTTGTACTCTTTTAACAAACAAATATAAGGCCCTGCTCGATTCGACTCGTTGAAACTCGGATCGATTTACTCGTTTAATAAATCTAAAATCCTAAACAATTTGTTCGTGAAATAACTCATGTCGCATAAAAATGAGTTTATTCATAAATTTTTAGAGGATTAATATATACAACATCTTTTTGTTTTTTCATTTATTCTTGTTTATATTAGTTATTTTGTTACGTTTATTAATATTTTATTCAAACATAATATTATAACTGCAAGTATATAAAATTCTCAATAAGTTTTAAAAAGTCTATTATGAAAGTCTTAAAAAGTCACTGATGAAATTTCTCTGAAAGTCTCAAAAAGTCCACCAAAGTCATGAAAGTTTTACAAAGTCCACAAAAGTCATCAAATTTAAAAAGTTTTAAAAAGTTCTTAAAAGTCTCAATTGAATACACCGTGTTTTCTTGGATGAAATTAATATATGAATGTATATAACTTCTAATCAAGTTTTGGCTTTGCATCTTTATTCTTGGGTTTTGTTAAGTTGAAAAATCATTTTTTTTTTTTTTGATGAAGTTAATATATGCATGTAAATAACATATATTAGCAATGTTTTCCTAAACGGTATTAAACGTCCGTCTAAACGCGTTTAGACGGTAAACGACAGGGTAACGTGGAGTTTAGGGCCTGGGCGGGCAGCTAAACGGGTTTTCCGTCTAGACGGTCAAAGACGGGAAAAAACGTTGAAGACGGCCTAAACGGAACGGCTTTAAACGGTTCTGGGCACCGAAACGGCCGTTTCTCTTCGCGTTTAGGTGATGGCCGCTGGCCAAATCGATGGGCGCGGGAGCAACAGGCGGGAAGGGAATGGAGTAGCGGGAAAGTTGGCGGGTGATTGAGAGAAATTTGGGGCGGGTATAAGTACCGGAGGCTAGGGATAAGAGGAGATTTTTCCCGTTCCGCTTAGCTCGTACGCACGCCGCCACCACCTCTCACGCACGCAGCGTCGACCTGCAGTGCACCGGCGACCAGGCTGAGCTCGAGCTGCGCACGCCTCCTCGCTCCGTCCTCCGCGTGCCTCCTTGCTCCAGCCGTGACGCTGCCTCCGAGCAGCATCGGCTCCAGCTGTGACGCCACCTCCAATCGGACTGCCTCCAGCCATGATTTGCCTAATGTTTGCCACTTCTGCTAATTCTGAACTGATTTGTGAATTTTTATATTACTGCATGGTACTTTAGTTTGCAAACAGACATCCAAATACTTATAGCTTTGTCTAACAATATTTATTTTCTCCTATATGTACACAGTTTATATGGAGTCAAAGGAGTCGACATGTAGTTAAGCAAGTTCAGAAACTCAAATTATGCAAGATATGTGCAATTCTGTGACTTCTGTCATTTCATTTGTAAAATATTCATTCTTACATGTAAAATTGACATCTATATACGTGCAAAATAGCTGAAACCTTGCTACAGTAACAAAACCGTTTAATCCGTCTAGACGCCGTCTAAACGGCGTCTACACACTCTAAACGCTAAACAGAGAGTCACCGCTCGTGTACCGTTTAGCGTCTAGGAAAACACTGTATATTAGTAATAATTACTTGTATAATATTCTTTTTATGACATTTCAATTGTCATGAAAATCTTGTCTTTGTATCTTCTCTTTTCCCTTATTTCCATTTTTCTTTCTTAATGCGGGTCACATAAAGTTCTCCTGTAAATTTTCATATTTTAGATAGGCGAAAAACATTTTCCCTACACAAACCATATCAATTTTTAGATGACAAGAAGATACAATTTTCAAAATTCTATATAACATGTACTTATTTTTCAAAATTGGATATTTTAATGGTTAATAGATTTGATGGTTAGTAAATGAATTTTTTTAAATTGACATGTTATAGTAAAATATATATAAATAAATATATATGTCATAGTATAAGAATTATTCTTGCTTAAAAAAGTAGATAGATATTATGATAGGGGAAGACTACGGTCTTTTTATGGAACTATTCTGTCGGGGTTTGTAATCATTAGATCAACTATACCCCACAGTTACATGATGATCTAACCGTTACAATTCTCGATGGAATAGTTCCGTAACGAGACCATAACATTTTCCAAGATGATATTTTATGTTTCCATCTCCCAATGTTAAAAAAAAATATATATATCATTTTTGCAGCTAGTTCCTTTTACTTTGTTAGGACAACATTTCTCACAAACAGATAATTTCATATTTCTGAGAGTTTTATTACTTGGACAATATTGGTACCAAAACCAAAATTCTAACTAAAAAAACAATCAAATATATCTGTCCTTATTCATATTCATATTTGATAAATAAATACCTTACCCAAATTCTCATCATGAACCCTAAATAAATAAAAACCCAATCTTTATTTTCCCTACATTTCCCCCTTTCATTAATTCCACACCAATTTACACACAAAAAAAATGTTGCTTATCGAATAATCTGACCAGAAACATCGATCGTCTCCCCAAAAAACCCATGTGCCAGTTTTCACTGCAATCCTCATAAAAATCCTGTCTTTGACAAAATTTGGTGTCTTCTTCCAGAATTTCGAACAAAAATTCAAAGCACTTTCAATCCCCATTTCTTTGTTTAAGTTTAATTTACACCCTTAATTAGTTTCAGCCATGGCTGCTGCCCTGCGGTCGAAATCCTCCCGAGACAGAGCTTCGGCCGCCGTCTCCCAGCTCCGACGCTTCATCCAGAACCACATGCAAGCTGGCCGGGCCGCCCGATTCGACTACTATTACCACAACAACCCCAGCTTCATCTCGGCCTCGCCCTTCAATTTCTCCCCCTTCAAGCCCCTCTCTTACCGCGGCGAGTACATCGATGGCGGCGGGACTTTCCTTAAAAATTTCCGGAATAATAATAATAGTAGGAAGAAAATCGAGAGTTCGGGCTCGCAGGGGGACCCACCGGAGGTATGGCAGCCGCCTGACCGGCTTGCGGTCACGCCGTCCATCAGGTTCATTCAGGTCGAGAACAGTGTCGACCCGAATGCGGGATCCGGAGGCGGTGGGCTCGGGGCGGGAGACAGGGATGACTGCTGGGGCGGGTCAAATCTCGGCCCGAATTTCCCAACGCCGAAGGAGATATGTAGAGGGCTCGATAAGTTTGTGATCGGGCAGGAGAAAGCTAAGAAGGTTGTATTTTATTTTATTTTATTTTATTTTATTGTTAATTTTTGTTGGGATTGATTTCTATTAATTGTTTGATTGGGAGTGAGGTTTGAAATTGATGCAGGTTCTTTCTGTAGCTGTTTATAATCACTACAAGAGGATTTATAATGATTCACCACAGAGGTGATTGCTCAGTTTGTAGTTGCATTTCGATTAATCCAAAATGTTTGAATTTGTGGCCATATAGCTTTTCTTTTGTCTCTAGCTCTTCCACAGATTAGAGAATGATTTATACGAGTGTCGGTATAATATAAGAATATCTGATGTTACCGCTATGTCTTGTAAGTTAGGCCTGCTGGGAGTACAGATAGTGGCAAAACTGAAGGCTCGGAGATTGAAAACGTGGAGCTCGAAAAAAGTAACATTCTCGTTATGGGCCCCACAGGGTCAGGTAAAAATTACTCTAAAACTGAGTTAGATGATCATTTTGTGAAATTTATGTCAGCATTATGTAGAAACTTACTTCTGTAGTTCTGTAAGTGATTGGAGTTTTGAGGATTTTTAGTATAAATTGTGTTAATGAATGAGGGAATAATTAAAAGCTGTGTTTTATGTATTGATTTTGAGTGCATATCGTTTTGTCCAATTTACTGTTATACTTTTTTTCACTGTTTTTAATGTCATCTTTTAAGGACAGGGAAAACACTGCTTGCCAAAACTTTGGCAAGGTTGGTTAATGTTCCCTTTGTTATAGCTGATGCAACTACGCTTACACAGGCAAGTTCTCTTTTTTAATTATTTTTTACTTGGTACACGATAATTATTCTTTGAAATTCTAATTTTCTAATGTGCTATGATCTAGGATTTGGAGTATATCATAATGTTTTTAGCTAAAGGATGGTTTCAAATTTGTAATTCCCGATGAACAGGATGTTTTTTGTAGTCCAATGCAACAAATCAATAGTTCAAACAATTTTTTTTTGCTTTTTTCCCTCCAAATGTGTTCTTCTGGAAATCAAATAATTTCTAGTCTAATTAATTTCACGTTTTTTTTTCAGGCAGGATATGTTGGGGAAGATGTCGAGTCCATCTTATACAAACTGCTTACAGTAAGCTATAGTTTTTCTTTCTCACGGTCTATTGAAAAATCCTTCTTGTTTGGACCCTCATAAAAAATAATTAATATTCAAGTCTGAATTTAATTTTTAGTGTAAATTGCCTTTTCAATTTCAGGTTGCCGATTATAATGTTGCAGCTGCTCAGCAAGGCATAGTTTATATCGACGAAGTTGATAAGATCACTAAAAGGGTACAGCTGCTGTAAATTAGTTAATCAACTGACCGTACAATAACAGAATTCAGATCTTTCACCTTTCTAATGTGGCTTTGTGTTTGTAATTCTCTTGAATATGTAGGCAGAGAGCCTTAACCTTAGTAGAGATGTGTCTGGAGAAGGTGTTCAGCAAGCGCTTTTGAAGATGCTCGAGGGAACTGTGAGCACTTCATTTCCAAGTTTACATTCTGTGATTTTGTTTTGCCTGTTCTGTTTTATTCTTTTATTAAAAGGAATTTAAATCGTTACAATGTGCCTAACTTGAAGTAATATCTTGAAAATAACTATACCTGATAGATTGTAAGCTAAATTGCAATCTTTAACCTTTTTTATTTTATTTTATTTTATTTTTTCCTTTTTTGCCTCCTCAGGTGGTTAATGTCCCAGAGAAGGGTGCTCGTAAGCATCCTAGAGGTGACAATATCCAGGTGAAAATCGATTCAGTCACCTAAATTTTTTATTTTTATTTTTATATATTAAGATCAGTATGATATAATCTCTTTCACTCTCTCCCAATCTCTTCAGATTGACACGAAAGATATTCTCTTTATATGTGGTGGTGCTTTTATTGACTTGGAGAAGACAATCTCAGAAAGGTCGTTATAACTTTTCAGCAACTAATATTAAATAAATTTTATTTTATTTTATTTTTTTTCTGTAAATGCTCGAAAACTTGAAACTTTAAAAGAAATCCATTCAGACGTCACGATTCTTCAATTGGGTTTGGTGCTCCCGTACGTGCTAACATGAGAACAATCGGTGTTACAAATGCTGCTGTGACATCATCCTTACTAGATACTGTAAGCTTAATCGCAACTGACCTTTTTTTAATAAATAAATAAATATATTTGTAAACTATTCAGAATCATTTTATGTAATTATTTATAAAGCAAAATGTGTATCCATTGGAATTTGCAGGTTGAAAGTAGTGATCTAATTGCATACGGGCTTATACCTGAGTTTGTCGGACGATTTCCTGTACTTGTTAACTTGTCGGCCCTTACTGAGGAGCAGCTTGTTCAGGTGAGAACTCCTATTTGCAAATTGTGATTTTATTTCTATTTTTTTGCGATATTTTTTTTTCCTAGTTTTAGTAACTCAATTTATCTTATGCTCATCAATTTTCGTGGCAGGTTCTAACAGAGCCAAAAAACGCATTAGGCAAGCAGTACAAAAAAATGTTCCAAATGAATGGAGTAAGCAAACTATTATAGTTTTATCCCTTTTAATGAAGGTAAAAATTATTTACAGCCTTTTTTTTTCAGGTGAAATTGCATTTCACAGAAGATGCACTGCGAATGATTGCAAGAAAAGCAATGACTAAAAACACGGGTGCCCGAGGCTTACGGTCCCTGTTGGAGAATATTTTAATGGATGCTATGTATGAGGTTTGTGATTGTTTTTTCTCCTTAATCAATTGATTAAACTTTTGCTTGATATGATATAATATAGATAAAAATCGACTAGGGTTCAAATCAGTTGCTGCACGCTTCAATTAAAACACCCTTTTCCGCATAGCGCCTTATATTTGATATGGAATATATTGTGTCGATATGTTGTTCTTAGCCTGTGTTTTCTTTTTCTATTCCACGTTTAAGATAGAGGAAAAATACTATACTAACAAAAATAAAACTAGGAAAAATACTATACTACAAACATAAAGCACAAAAACTGCAGTAACTAAGGCTATGTTTGATAACCAAATAAGGTAGTTTATAGTTTATTTGGTTAGCTTATAAACTTCCTCTATTTAAATAAGTTCCGTTTGGTAGGCTGATCTTTTTTAAAAAACTCGAACTTATCTCATAAGATTTTTTTGGGTAGCTTTTCAAATAAGTTAGTTGAAATTTTATTCCAACTTCAGCTAAATTTTACACCACACTTTTATCATATAAGCTAGTTTTTCAGTTATAAGTTATAAGCTATAAGCTCGAAAGTCACTTATAAGCTATGAGCTAGCTTATCAGCTAATTAGTTTATCAGCTAGTTTTACCAAACATAGCCTAAATAAGCTATAAAGTAATATGTAAAACACACAACGAACACCCTCCAAAAAATAGAACTAAATCCCTCACAAAAAAAAAAAAAAAAAAAAAAAAAAAAAAGGAGATTTTATGGACATTATTTACTACATTTAACGAAATACGGTGTTAAACTTGCAGATTCCTGATGTTAGAACTGGGGACAATATAATAGATGCCGTTGTAGTAGACAAAGAATCTGTGGACCGTGGATTTGGGGCCAAGATTCTTCACGGCAAAGGGGCCTTGGACCTCTATTTATCATCTCAACATAAGGTGAAGGACTCGGAGGTAAGGCCCGGCCCAAAAACTGCTCGAAAAAAGGAAATTTATCCATTTTTTTTTTCGTTTTAAAACTATATTTGTCTGTTATTTCAAAAACTGTTTTTTTCTTTCTTTTTGTCATTACAGACTTGTGCAGATGTGTCTGAAGGAGAACCAGAGATCGATAACGAGCTTCCTTCTATTGTAGCCTTGTAATAAATGTGTTTTTCATGGACTGTACAGTATATAAGAAAATAAAACTGAGGTGAAATTTGTTTTACCATATATTTAGAGGAGGCTTTTTCAGTTATGTGCTAGTTTGTTGTACCTTTTGCTTTGTTGTCCTATTGTAAATGGATTTGTGGAAATCTGGTATAGTCTGAATTTAAATTAAATTACTTCCCACCCTTTTGAAATATAGCCATTTTGGTGTTTGTAGTTATTTATTTTGGTTATTTAAAATAATACTACACACACCCCTGAGGTTTGGCCTAGTTATCAAGAAGCCAAAATGTATTTGAAAATTGAATGTATGCATGTACATTACCACTTAGAATTGATATTTCAGTAGCTATTTGAAAAGATATATATGGAGCCTTTTGGGATTAAGGCAAACTCTAGGGGTGGTTTTTGCAATTTAAAATATTTCAATTCAACTAGACGGTTGCATTTTTCAAACTTGTAGGTAGTGCATGAGAACTAAAAGTTGGGGGTAAAAACCCCACAATCAAATTAATTTCAAACTTTTAGGCAGTATATGAGAACTAAAAGTTTGGGGTAAAAATCAAATTTAATTTCAAACTTTTAGGCAGGTGTATGAGAAGTAGTAAAAGTTGGGGTAAATGCACACAAAATTCAATTAAAAATAAATAAATTCAGAAATATGTTTTACACTGATTAGTTACATTTTTGCCAGATTAATCGTTGGTATAAAATGGAAACAATTGCCACCACCACAGCATGCAATGCATGTGCCAAAATTACAACCAAAAACTCTAATTTTGTCCTTCTTTTTTTTTTTTTTGGTACA